TGGGAGGCCAAGGTGGGTAGATTGCTTGAGCCCAGGAATTTGAGACCAGCCCGGGTAACATGGTAAAACCCTGTCTCTACAAAAAATACAAAAATTAGCCCAGTGTGGTGGCACGTGCTTGCGGTCCCAGCTACTCCGGAAGCTGAGGTGGGAGGATCGCTTGAGCCTGGAAGGTTGAGCCTGCAGTGAGCTGTGGTCATGCCATTGCACTCTAGCATGGGTGACAGCGACCCTGTCTCAAAAGTAAATCAATCAGTCAAGAACTGACTTTGGATGGTACAAGGGAAAAAAAGTTGAAGAATAGGCCGGGTGCAGTGGCTCACACCTGTAATCCCAACACCTAGGGAGGCCGAGGTGGGCGGATCACAACGTCAGGAGTGACCAGCCTGGCCAACATCATGAAACTCCGTCTCTACTAAAAATACAAAATAGCCGAGTGTGGTGGCGGGTGCCTGTAATTCCAGCTATTTGGGAGGCTGAGTCAGGAGAATCCACGATGGTTCCACTTCACTCCAGCCTGGGCGAAAGAGCGAAACTCTGTCTCAAAAAATAAATGTTGAAGAATAACTGTGGATTTCTTGTTTGGGTAACTTTGTGTTGTGCTGTGTATGTTGGGGCCATTAACTAACCCCAGAAAAAAAAAAAAAAAAAAAAAAAAAAAAAAAAAAAAAAAAAAAAAAAAAAAAAAAAAAAAAAAAAAAAAAAAAAAAAACAAAAACAAAATAATGAAAAAGAAAAAAGTAAAACAAACAAAAATGAGTTCATGTCTAAAACATGTTTCTAAAACATTGTTTCTTTCCTTTCCCCCTCTTCTAGTTACTAAAAGATGTAACTGAACTGGAAATCCTTGGTGAAATATATTTCAACAAATCTCTATATGAGGGGCTGAATGCAGAGAACCACAGAACTAAGGTAATTCCTGGCTGGCTTCTGAGTAGTGCCCGAGGAAAACGGTGCCTCACCTTTGAGTGCCTGCACAGACGTTCTGTTGTTGCCCTTTGCCTGTTTTCAGCCTTAACACTTCTGAGGCCGGGCGCGGTGGCTCAAGCCTGTAATCCCAGCACTTTGGGAGGCCGAGGCGGGTGGATCACGAGGTCAAGAGATCGAGACCATCCTGGTCAACATGGTGAAACCCCGTCTCTACTAAAAATACAAAAACATTAGCTGGGCATGGTGGCGCGTGCCTGTAATCCCAGCTACTCAGGAGGCTGAGGCAGGAGAATTGCCTGAACCCAGGAGGCGGAGGTTGCGGTGAGCCGAGATCGCGCCATTGCACTCCAGCCTGGGTAACAAGAATGAAACTCCGTCTCAAAAAAAAAAAAAAAAACCACTTCTGATCTTGGCTCTGCCATCGCTGCCTTTGTGGCCTTGAGTGAGTCAGCTTCTTGCCTGTGAAATAAGGCACTTTAGTAAGAGGCCTACGCTGAGGAGTTGTGAGTTGAAGTAACTAGGTTGGAATCAACTGCAGTATATACTGTGATTTGAAAATGTACTGATTTAAAAAAAAATTTCCAGCCGGGCGCCCGTGGCTCACACCTATAATCCCAGCACTTTGGGAGGCCTAGGCAGGTGGATCACTTGAGGTCAGACGTTCAAGACCAGCCTGGCCAACATGGTGAAACCCTGTCTCTACTAAAAATACAAATACTAGCTGTGCGTAATGGTGGGCACCTGTAATCCCAACTACTCGGGAGGCTGAGGCAGGAGAATCTCTTGAACCTGGGAAGCAGAGGTTGTGGTGAGCCAAGATCACACCATTGCACTCCAGCCTGGGCAATAGAGCAAGACTCAGTCTCAAAATAAATAAGTAAATAAAATTTCCTGAGTGCGAAATTGATTTTTGTATACATTAACTGTCTTAGTGTGCAGTATCTGTTTATAGTGTTAAATAGTACTCAGGACTGCGTAAGTGTTTTATAAGATGTAGACTAAATACTGCAGCTCTTGGAATTCTTTTTGTAAAAGTATGACTGGAAGTGAAACTGATGCCTGTGATTTATGGACTGAACGCTGTGTGTGTTACCCTGTGCTTTCATTCTTACTGGCACTTGTGTGGACACGGCTTCAGAGGTGATCTGTCTGTGAGCTCTCTAGTTAGTCATGATTGTTTACTAGAGGGAGTGTCAGGAGAGTGATGCTGGATGCTAAACATAAGACCCTCCGTTTTCCTCCCTGGAGGAGGAGAAAGGAGCAATTGTGTAGACATGTCAATATGACATTTTTGATTCTTTTTACATAGTGTATTTCTTCTTCTTCTTCTTCTTCTTTTTTTTTTTTTTTGAGGTGGAATCTTGTTCTGTCACCCAGGCTGGAGTGCAGTGGTGCCATCTTGGCTCACTGCAACCTCTACCGTGAGGTGGTTGAAGTGATTCTCCTGCCTTAGACTCCTGAGTAGCTAGGATTGCAGGTACCCACCACCATGCCTGGCTAATTTTTTTTTTTTTTTTTAATAGAGACAGGGTTTCATCATGTTGGCCAAGCTGGTCTCGAACTCCTGACCTCAGGTGATCCTCCCACCTCGGCCTCCCAAAGTGCAGGGATTACAGGTGTGAGCCACTGTGTCCGGCTAAGTAGTGTATTTCTAATACCACTTAGAAAACAAATGAAATAGAAGAGCCCCAGATTTTAACAAATGAAAGTAATAGCAAGAAAATCCCAGCCATACAGAGAAGGGTATGAAATGAAAAACAATGGCTTCTGCACTTTCTCCCTTCCTGTGCCCCAGCAGGGAGGAGTTACTAATATGTTTCTTCTGTGCACATTTTAAATTGACGTATTTCCCCCTCTTAGTTACTGATGCTTTTATTTCTATAGCAGATTCCCCAAAATTCCTTTCTTTAAATCCAATATCCTAAGCAGTATTAAGTGGTCCCTGACAATAATAAGCACCTGACTTACAGCGACTCTGTGAGTGTAAATAACTGTGTATCCAAATGCATTGCAGACACAGGAAGGGGAAAGTCCAGCTGACACAGCCGAAGGGCGCATTCTGGTTATGCAGCACAGGAGGCCGACCTGGGGCGATGGTCTGACTTCTTTGGTCCTTGCACTATTCTGTGTTTGGGATGCTTTCCTTCACGGCCAGCACAAACTTGCCACATCTCCACAGGCTGTATTTTCACATGGCAGGATACAAAACAGGAAGAACTCAGAAAAAGATTTTTCTTTCATTCCCTTTTCAGGGATGAAACATTTCCCAAAAGCTCCCAGGAGACTTCCTCTTACATCTTATTAGTGAGATCTGAGTCTCATGTCAGTCACTGGCAAAGATAGCTGTGTCATGATCACCTTAGACCAGTCATGAGTCTGAACAAAATCTGCCAGGAGAGAGTGGGCTCTGGGCAGGCCCGCATTTGTTTCTGGGTGCCTGCATCAGTGTTTCTGGGTGCCAGTATCAGTGTTTCTGGGTGCCCACGTCGGTGTTTCTGGGTGCCTGTATCAGTGTTTCTGGGTGCCAGTATCAGTGTTTCTGGGTGCCTGCGTCGGTGTTTCTGGGTGCCAGTGTCGGTGTTTCTGGGTGCCCGCGTCGGTGTTTCTGGGTGCCTGTGTCGGTGTTTCTGGGTACCAGCGTCGGTGTTTCTGGGTGCCCGTGTCGGTGTTTCTGGGTACCAGCGTCGGTGTTTCTGGGTGCCCGTGTCGGTGTTTCTGGGTGCCAGCGTCGGTGTTTCTGGGTGCCCGTGTCGGTGTTTCTGGGTACCAGCGTCGGTGTTTCTGGGTGCCCGTGTCGGTGTTTCTGGGTGCCAGTGTCGGTGTTTCTGGGTGCCTGTGTCGGTGTTTCTGAGTGCCAGCGTCGGTGTTTCTGGGTGCCAGCGTCGATGTTTCTGGGTGCCCGTGTCGGTGTTTCTGGGTGCCAGCGTCGGTGTTTCTGGGTGCCCGTGTCGGTGTTTCTGGGTGCCAGCGTCGGTGTTTCTGGGTGCCCGTGTCGGTGTTTCTGGGTACCAGCATCAGTGTTTGCCGCAGGCGGTGGTACCCGGTGTCCCGCTTCCCCCTTAACCTCTGCCAGGGCATTGTTGGGACACCTTGGGGAATCTGTGGGTTTAGAAGAGGCTAAAGGGAGACGGCTTTGAGAAATAGGGACATTTCTTCTACTCAGATCTGGCCTGTTTCCCAACTGTCACCTCGGGACTTCCTTTCATTTCCCAAATCCAGATTCTCGAGTCCCCCTTCTTCTCCTGTAGAGGAATATTCTGGTCCCCTTTCTGTTCTTCCTCCCTCTTTGTTGCTATGGCACCTCCCTATTCTCAAGGCCTGGGACTTCACTCCTATTAGTTCAGCTACCTGTGAGTGAAAGGGGACCTGGAAGGTCGACTTTAGGTCAGCCAGCACTTACAGCTTAATTGGAAGAGGCCTTAAAGGTAAGTGTGTCCAGCCCTTCACCCTGTACAGAAACCTCTCCAAAGCATCCCTGACCTTGGCATTTAAATGTATGCATGAAGGGAACTCAGTGCTCTAGGTGGGCAGAGAAGTCTTCTTGGCTCTCTGGCCCCACCCAAGTCCTGGGAACTTGCGGTGGTCACAACTTGGAAGGGCCATACCTGGATCTCAGGAAGCACATCCCCTGAACTTTCCAGCTGAGCCCTGTCCAAAGAGAGATGAGACTCCAGAAACTGGGACAGCCTGTGGAAAATAAACGCTGAGGCTGACTTCTCATGGCTGAGCTCTGCAGGTAGAAAACCTGAGGCTGACTCATAGCTGAGCTCTGCAGGTGGAAAAGCTGAGGCTGACTCTCACGGCTGAGCTCTGCAAGCAGTACACATGGATGTAATCTGCATTTATGATGTCCCTTAGGTAGTACACACTTTTTAGTCTGGTGAGGAGGAGAGCAGTACTTTTGTACTACATGTATTTCATGTAGGGAAATGTATTACTGAAGCCTTTAGGGATCTGTGCAAGATGAGAAGGAGCCGTCAGAATATTGTTGGAAAGGGCTTGGAGATCATTTAAAGTCAGTCATCATTTTATTTTATTTTATTTATTTTTTTTTTTGAGACGGAGTTTCGCTCTTGTTACCCAGGCTGGAGTGCAATGGCGCGATCTCGGCTCACCGCAACCTCCGCCTCCTGGGTTCAAGCAATTCTCCTGCCTCAGCCTCCCGAGTAGCTGGGACTACAGGCGTGCGCCACCATGCCCAGCTAATTTTTGTATTTTTAGTAGAGACGGGGTTTCACCATGTTGACCAGGATGGTCTCGATCTCTTGACCTCGTGATCCACCCGTCTCGGCCTCCCAAAGTGCTGGGATTACAAGCGTGAGCCACCGCGCCCGGCCTCATCATTTTAAAGAATAGGTGTGGGGCTCCGGGGTGTAGAGCCGTGAAGCTGCATGACTGTCTCGCAGTTCTGGGTGGAGACCGAATTCTCTGGGGCCCTCTTTGAAGCTGTCAGAGCATCTTTAACAGAAGATCACAATCTCCTGAGAGATCTAGCCCTTCTAGGTAAGAGGCCCGAATAGTTTCTTACAAAGTCTTTGGATGATTGGATAATTTTAGATGGTTTAAAATGCTGTGTCAGGGAATATTTCTCTTTCTGCTTGACTGTTGTCAGTTTTGATCAATACATGGGGTGTTGCCAAGTGCTTGTGTTTTGCCCCTTAAAACAATGTGTAGAATGTTTTCCTTGTTTGCTTCACCTGATTCATCGGATGATCTTTGTCTTGTGTAGATCACGATCATCTTCCTGAAGGAGGAGAAGCACTCTTCTTTGCCTGTCATCATCAAAGGCAGTGTTGGTGGACTTCTGGTTTTGATTGTGATTCTAGTCATCCTGTTCAAGGTCAGTTCCGCTCCTGTCGCACCGGGAGGGAAGACTGGGCTCCGGTTTGGGCACAGAGCTCCCTAGGACAGCCAGCCCCTGACTTGGAGCGGCTGCCCTGGCCTCCTGGCCACTTTTTTCTCTTCCTTCAACGACACACCCCTTTGAGACAAATGAGTAAAACAGTATCTGTCTGCAAAAAGAAAATCCTAATTGAATAATAAAAAGTGATTTTATATCTGTTTCTTTGGTACCTTCCTCTTCCGCTACCTAGGAGTTAAATAGGGCCTGGAAGGCCAACCCTAGGCCAGGATTTATAACTTAATTGGAAGAGGCCTTAATTGGTGAGGCCTTAAAACAGATGTGATTGTTGTTCCCCTATTGAAATCCTTTCCTTGCCTTCCCCTGTCTTAATGTGCAAACTCTTCTGCTATTTAAGATCCTCTCCTTTCTGTCCTCTATCCCTCTCTGCCCTTAAGTGTTGCTTTTTTTTCTTTTTCTTTTCTTTTTGTTTTGAGAGAGAGTTGTGCTATGTCACCCAGGCTGGAGTGAAATGGTACAATCTCTGCTCACTGCAATCTCCGCCCCCGGGTTCAAGCAATTCTCCTGCCTCAGCCTTCTGAGTAGCTGGGATTACAGATGTGTGTTACCATACCCAGCTAATTTTCATAGTTTTAGTAGAGACTGGATTTCACCATGTTGGCCAGGCTCGTCTTGAACACGTGACCTTAGGTGATCCACCCGCCTTGGCCTCCCAAAGTGCTAGGATTACAGGTGTGAGCCACCATGCCTGGCCTTCTTTTTTTTTTTTTTTTTTTTTTTTTTTTTTGTCTTTTTTTTTTTTTTTTTTTTTTTTTTTTTGAGCAGAGTCTTGCTACTTTACCTAGGCTGGAGTGCAGTGGTGCAATCTTGGCTCACTGCAACCTCTGCCTTTGGGTTCAAGCAATTCTCCTGCCTCAGCCTCCCCAGTAGCTGGGATTACAGACAAGAGCCATCACACTCAGCTAATTTTTGTATGTTTAGTAGAGATGGCATTTCACCCTGTTGGCCAGGCTGGTCTCTAACTCCTGACCTCAAATGATCCACCCGCTTCAGCCTCCCAAAGTGCTGGGATTACAGGCATGAGCCACCACCCCTGGTCTTTCTTTTTTTAAATAAAAAGGATCCTGCTTTGTTTCCCAAGCTGGAGTTCCAGGGTGCAATAATGGCTCGCCGCAGCCTTGCAGTCCTAGGCTCAGGCAGTCCTCCCACTGTAGCCCCCTGACTAGCTGGAACTGTTACTCAGGCACATGCCACCACACCCAGCTAATTTTTAAATTTGAATTTTGTGGAGACAAGGTCTCCCAGTGTTGCCCAGACTGCCCTAAACTCTGGGACTCAAGGGATGCTCTCATCTCAGCCTCCCAAAGTGCTGGGGTTACAGGCCTGAGCACCGGGCCTTGCTCCCAACAAGTCGAACTGTTCCCTACACAGGTTCCCGCCTCTGCACAGGCAGTTTCTCCTGTCAGAAATGGCCTTCGTGACTGTTCACTGTGCTCACTGTCTTCCCGGAAAGCAGTCTAGAGATTCTGAGTCCTCTGTGCTGGCTTCTGTGCTTTTGCTGTGAGCTCCCTTCTGGAAACCCCAAGTGGCAGTTATCACTCTGTATTATAATGATTACTTTTTCAAGTAGACAGTGAGCTTCATGTAGGAAGCTGTGCTTGATCTCTTTCTCTCTCCAGCATCATAGACTATACTAAGTATTTTTGTATAAATAAGACTAGATCCAGTACAGCTGAAATTATGCTTGGCATGATTAATAAAGTTAAAAAGGTTCAGGTGCCCAGGGGATGGGGGTTCAGAGGAAGGTGGAATCTGTTCTGGTTGAGGAAGGAGCACCCAGGGCCTGGAGGGATTGGACAGTCCAGGAGAGATTCGGAGGGAGGTAGGAGAAGGGAATAGGAAGCATGGGAAGCAGAGGAACGCAGGGCTATCTGGGCAACAGAACGGCGGCTTTCTGAAACAGATGGGTATCTTTGGCCTGCAACTGGACGTTCCCTTCCTTTGTTTCAGTGTGGCTTTTTTAAAAGAAAATATCAACAACTGAACTTGGAGAGCATAAGGAAAGCCCAGCTGAACACAGAGAATCTGTTCGCAGAAGACAATTAGGACTGCGCCATTACCATTGGGAGGGGCTGTCATTCCAGTCCTGGGATGTCGAGACCCGGGTCCTTCTGATGACCTTCATGATCTAGAGCAGCATCAAGCTGTTTGTAGAATATTAGTTTGTAACCATACGCTGTCCCAAAAGTGTCTGTGCATTGTGCAAAAAGTAGACTTGGGAAACATTTGGTGTTAAATAAAGTTACACTTTCTTTACAGCAGTGCCTTGAATCTGGAAATACAGTATTATTTATGATTTGCAGTACATTTTGTCTTAGAGAGCAAGTTTTCATTCTTATTTTTAATAATTATTGATTGTATCCTTTCAGGTAATTCTTTTTTTTTTTTTTTTTTTTTTTTTTTTTTTTTTTTTTTTTTTTTTTTTTTTTTTAATATTTTTATGAATTTTTTATTTTTTTTTTTTTTTTTTTTTTTTTTTTTTTTTTTTTTTTTTTTTTTTTTTTGTTTTTTTTTTTTTTGAGACGGAGTTTCGCTCTTGTTACCCAGGCTGGAGTGCAATGGCGCGATCTCGGCTCACCGCAACCTCCGCCTCCTGGGTTCAGGCAATTCTCCTGCCTCAGCCTCCTGAGTAGCTGGGATTACAGGCACGTACCACCATGCCCAGCTAATTTTTTGTATTTTTAGTAGAGACGGGGTTTCACCATGTTGACCAGGATGGTCTCGATCTCTTGACCTCGTGATCCACCCGCCTCGGCCTCCCAAAGTGCTGGGATTACAGGCTTGAGCCACCGCGCCCGGCTCCCTTTGGGGTTTTAATTTAAACATAAAGGTTAAGTTTGGGAGCACTGGTATCTGTATAAAACTGCCTTTCTACTCAAAAATATGACATTTCTCTGCTTGCTGAGATTTTTTTTTTTTCTTTTGAGATGGAGTTTTGCTCTAGTTGCCCAAGCTGGAGTGCAGTGGCACCATCTTGGCTCACCGCAACCTCTGCTTCCCGGGTTCGAGTGAATTCTCCTGCCTTAGCCTCCTGAGTAGCTGGGATTACAGGCATGTGCCACTACACACAGCTAATTTTGTATTTAGTACAGATGGGGTTTCTCCGTGTTCATCAGGATGGTCTTGAACTCATGACCTCAGGTGATCCTCCCGCCTCGGCCTCCCAAAGTGCTGGAATTATATACACGCATGAGCCACCACACCTGCCCCAAGATTTTTTAAAACACTCTACAGTAAGGTTTTATAATTTTCTTCAAAGTAATTGTATCAGGTGCCCCCATCCCCCAAGCACCTGAACCTTTTTAACTTATAAAGACTTACTTCCAGCTGTATTTTTACTTATTTATTTATTTTGGGGATGCTCAGTCGCCCAGGCTGGAGGGCAGTGGTGCAGTCATAGTTTACTGCAGCCTTGAACTCCTGGGTTCAAGCAGCTCCTCTGCCTCAGCCTCCTGAGTAGCTGGGAGTACAGGTTCAGGCCACCATGTCTGGCTAATATTTTTATCTTTCTTTTGTGGAGATGGGGTCTAGCTATGTTGACCAAGCTGATTTCAAATTCTTGGCCTTAAGCGATCCTCCTGCCTTAGCCTCTGAAAGTGTTGGGATTACAGGCGTGAGCTACTGTGCCTGGCTTGTAGTGTACTTTTGTTGCTACTGTGAGAAAGCACCTTTTTTCCCCCTGACTGCTTAGAGTTTGCACCAACTCAACAGTTGGTGGTTTTGAATGTTTATCTTACCTGGCCATCCTGCTGACCTTTTTTTTTTTCTTTTTTTTTTTTGAGATGCAGTGTTGCTTCTGTTGCCCAGGCTGAAGTGTGGTGGTATAGTCTCAGCTCACTGCACCGTCCACCTCCTGGGTTCAAGGGATTCTCCTGCCTCAGCCTCCCGAGTAGCTGGAATTACAGGCATGTGGCACCACACCTGGCTACTTTTTGTATTTTTAGTAGAGACGGGGTTTCACCATGTTGGTCAGACTGGTCTCAAATCCTGACTTCAGGTGATCTGCCCCCTCGCCCTCTGTAAGTGTTGGGGTGACAGGCATGAGCCGCCGTGCCTGGCCTGAACTCTGTTTTTAAATCACTCTTACTTTTTTTTTTTTTT